TTCAAAAAAGCGCTGGGTTGGTGTAGGGGGTTAGTTGTACGGAGGCACGGTTTCGGGAATTCGTACGCCCCGGCTACGTGGGGAGATCGCATGGTTTGGGTGTCGAGGTGGGCTTCTGAGGGCTGTGGTCGCTGCTGTTGTGGCTGTGCTTTTTGCTGTGCTTTTGTTTTGTTTTGTTTTGTTTTGTTCGTTTGGTAGGGTGTGTATGCGGGTGGGGTTGGGGGAGGGCGGTGGTTTGGGGGGGGGTTTGATGTGGTGGTGGTGGTGGTGGTGGTGGTGTTTGGTAGCGGGGAGGTTTGCGATAGGGTGGGAGTTGTACGAATAAGATTGAACAGAATAGGAATAGAGATAGGGATAGGAAAAATGACTGATAGTCTGTGCGTCTCGTTGACAAGGTTAAGAGCTCATTGGTAGAATTTACGGGTATGATTTGCAGAGGTGTATCTACCTACCTACCTGTCTTCCTTCGCACTCCAAACGGACAACGACATTCTGGGTCACTATGACCTTGACTGCCTGCTTCGCGCTCTACTCCATGCATGCCGTTCGATTCGATCGTAAAATGTTTCCGTTTCAGAGACGGATTGGATGTTACTTACCCACTAACATCTCTCCCAATGTATTCTTCATCTGATCTTTTCGGGCTTCGTGCATACGATCTTCGATACCGTCTGTACGTATATGCGAAGAAGATGCATGGCAATGATATGGAAAGGGTTCGTGCTCTGCGTACTACAGACGGACCGATTCGAGTGTTTCATGAATGTGAAATGGTTAGCGACTCAAACGTCTCAAATTTCGCTATCTAGACCCTTTGGGCCTCGTGCGTAAGATTTTGAATGCGCCTGTTGACATGTCACCCACGGCCGTACGGAATCAATGGATGCGCGAAGAATACAGCCTGGTCACTCTTATCAACCTCCACCTTTCCACATCCCCATCCCCACCCCCACCCTCACCCAGTCTGCTCCACCCAAATGCACCTACGGCACAATGCAAACGGGCAGCACATCCAACACGACCCCCACACACCCGCTCGCCACCACCGGCCCAATGAACAAATCGTCCGTCACCGCAAAGCCGGGACACAGCTGCAGGACCGAATTCACCCCGTCGGAGCACGTGAGGGCGCCGGTCGCTACGCTGCAGACGACTGGGGTGTCGCTGGCTTCGACTTCGGCGGGGGGGTCGAAGAGGAGGAGTTGGAGGCCCGTTCTGGTGAGTGGGACGGGGTGGGTTAGTCGGTGGGGGTTGTGAGGAAGGAGAGGGAGGGGAGGGGAGGAGGTTTTGGGGAGATGGGGGCTTGGAATGAGTATGGGCGGGAGGATTTCAGTTTGGGACTGAGGATGGGAGTCTTACTGGCCTGGAATGCGGAATGCGATTTGACCGACCGAGTCGATCATTAGGAAGCCGGTTGATGTGAGAGAGAGGACACCGGCGGCGGAAGGGTCGGTGAGGCCGTTGAAGCCCACTAGCTCGCCGTCTCCGTCGTCGATCTGATCGTAAGTGCCTTCGAGCTGGGCACCGTTCAGAACCACCGGGCTCGCTAGTTTCAAGATGAACTTGAGGGTTTCGGAGTCAGCACGTCGCTTCTTGGACGCAGGTTGGAATCTTGAAACAAAAAAAGATAACTCACAGTCGGCAGCGCATTCGCGCACTCCGTGACGGTAGACGAAGCAGTAACAGTGACCGTGGAAATAGTAGTAGTGACGGTGGATGCGGTAATGGTAGTTTTGACAATGATTGTAGGGGCTGGACCTACGACTGTGGAGGTTGTTTTGACCGTTGTGGTAGAAGGGCTGATGGAGAGGCAAGAACAGGCAGAGGAAATCTCGGACGAGGCGAAGGCGGACACGTAGGAGGGAATGGGCTGGTTGTTAATGTTGCGTTCAGCGAGTTTTGGGGAGATAGCACGTTTGGCGGGAGCGGAGGTGATGCTGTAGATGACTGTTGGGGTGGTGGTGGTGGTAGCTGTAACGGAGCTGCGCGATGGTGTGTGAGTTTAGCAATTCGGATTTTCAGGGACGCACGGTGAGGAAATATAACGTACACCTTCGGCGTGACTGTAATGGTGGATGTCACCGTAGAAGGCTTCGGCGTTGACGTCGTGGTCTGTAAGAATCAGCAATGTTTCCCCAGGGTCTTTGCTGGCTAGAAGCAAGTCACGTGCTGTAGCTGAAGTAACGGTCTTCACTGGTATTGAGATGAAGGAGCTGCAGAACGATGTTGCAGAAGCTTTGTACTGGCTGAGAACACTGATAATGACGGTGACGGCCTTGCACTCGTCCACGTTCCTGATCTTGAGGTCATTCTCTGGGGCTGGAGCACTGAACGCGGAACCGCTCAATGCCAAGAGAAGGCTTAGGGCGGTGAAGGGTCGCATGATTGGGATGGAAGACGACTCGGAAAGAGAACAGTATGTAGAGTATAGGGATGGCTCCCAAAGATACGAAAGAGCCTTGTTGACTTAAGAGAGGGAGACACCAATTTTCAAGTGCAGTCAGCGAAAGCTGCAGACCGGAAAGCAGATTTGAGGGTGAGCAAAACCTTGGTTCTTATGCTTGAAGAGGCTGGTCTGGGAAGAGAACCCATCCAGTAGTTGTCGACCAAAGAGACGGATGTCCGAGCTGGAAATGCACTTGCTTGGGTGCAGGCACAGGTGCGCGCGGGGCTGACCAACAAATGCCGTCTTCATAAGCCCAAGATGGACAGAGTGAGCTAGTGATTACGCCACGAATCATACCTACAAACGTCTGCAGGCATGGAGGTGTGAGACTTACTCGGTTCATTGCACGTGGAGGAGGTGACTGAGGTTCATTACCTGCCTCTTTAGTCCTGGTACGACATCTCGCCGTCGGCATGAAGGATTGCGCACGCCACTGATACTGTAGACTTCTGGAATCAGCCACAGTAGGATACTTGACATAGAATCAACCGAAGAGCTAGTGTAACGGTCGCTGACTGCTCAAAGCCTCATTGGTTGCATGTCCCTTGACCCGTGTCTGGCTAACGAAACTATAGATCCCGTGAATTAGTGCTTTCGGCAGCGGACCCTGAAGCACGCTCTCGTCTAAATGAACCAGATTCGGAGAAGTTCTTTTCAGTTGAGAAAAACTGTCGTTGTGAAAGCACGGCAAAGGCTACAACCACTGGAGAGACGCGAAGCAGAAGAAGGGTAAGCTGGTTTCGAAAGCAGCCTGCTGCTGTTGAAAGACAAACATGAATGAATGAGATAGCGTTGTGCAGAGTAGTAAATTAGTTGATACTCAGATCTGTGCGAAGCAAATTAGCTGAGATGAGGTGAACGCAGATGTATGGTGCGACAGGTGTTCTGAATTGCATCATGAGCTATGGCAGACGTAGGTACAACCTCTGCATGTGTGAAATGCGTTGGCTTAAGCAGGGAGATCGAGCCAGCTTTAGTCCTACATGAACAAGGAAGACTCAATCTTTGAGCTTTTCGAATAACATTGTGGGGGGCCGATGGTTTTATGTGGACGGTATCGATTGAGAATAACACGGTGGACCACCTTGACCGCTGCAGTGCTCCGGCACTTCGAGGTTCCTTGCAGTGCGTGCGGGGCCTCACTGAGGAGTATTAGCTTCACATCTGAATGGCCCTAGACTAAGCGCGGATGCGCAAGAACCTTTGGGTCCTCCATTCATAAGAAGTGCCGCTAGGACAAGGGCAAAGAAGGCAATAAGAGCTTCATCACTTCCAAGAAATCTAAGCGCATAAAGCCCCTGTGACAAAAGAGTCCGGCAACCTCTGGCTTGAATTAAGTCTTGCTCTAGCTTCGAGGAAGTTTGCATTTCTGTCTACTGTTTTAGCCCTCGAGGGAGCCGTAACGGCTTTCGGAAAGGGAACGGATCGAGAAAAGGGAACCGTTAACGTTGATGGAGAGCTCGAGGAGGGGTTGAATTGAATCGCGTAGATACCGAAGCGAGCAAGGGGAGTATCGAGTAGATCTGCTTCACAGCCTAAGTAGAGAGTGGGATACTCGTGAGCATTCCAGAATGACTGGATCAGATTGTTGATGCCCTCGTATCGATCGGGATCGGGAATGGCGAGTGGATTTGGGCGACCGCGTGGGAATTACCAGAAGCTGAATGCTGAATTAGAGCGAGAGCAACAATGCCCGATGTCGAAGCGAGAGGCATTTCTTCCACCTCAATCGCTCAGTGAATGTGTCAAGCAGAAATTCCTGCAGTGCACCTAACCAGCAGTGACATCAATGCTGTGTATTACACAGTACTCCCGCATTTTCTTTGCACTCTATGGCATTCGGACATCACCGTCGAGCTCACTACCCAAATTCAACCCTCTGAGAGTCGAACCAGATTGATGACGTGGCCCAGGCGTGGTCTTCCCCATTGCTCGTTGTATGCCCAGCTCTTTTTCGAATACGTCACTGCGTTGTTCATTTGCCAGAGGCATTGAAACTCCCAGGATATTGGGAAGGTCCTTGAACGCGGGGAAGTCGGAGACTGATGCTGTTACCACATGGATGTCAGCCAAAGAGCGCGATGGTGCGTAAAAGGAGTATGAGAGGAGAAGGAAGGGTACACACCAGTTGGACCTCATCCTGAAGTGCTGGTTGCGATGCGCAATGCAATAGGACGCCTTAGCTAGAGGAAGAATGACCATGGCATGTCCTGATCGAGTATCGCAGAGCCACGTCGAGCCTCCAATGATGGATGTTGCCGGAGTCCACCATCCCAACCACCAGACATCAAACCTCCCCCCTGGGACTTGAATTTAGGCTTGCACCACTCCTCATCATGGCCGCGACGATGCGAATACTTTGGCGATGTTTGTTATGCCCAGATAGTGTATAGCAGCATCACTGTTTGCCGCAGAGAGTGACAGGCACAGAGAGCGCCATGGGAAAGAAGGATGAGTGAGGCTGAGGAGTTCAGGCGAGACGGCGCCAAGACTCGTAGGGCGGAGTTTGGATCCTTTACCTAAATTTAAACTCCTCAACATCTCAGTGTTCAGGATGTCAGCTCAACTCAAGTCTATTGATCCTTCCAACAATATCAGTATCGCATACATCATATCATTGGATCGACTCAAGGAAGCTAAAGGACATGACAGGATAGGTACGTCTTGACTTGCCTAAGCTACGGCACAGCCTGCTTGCTATCTACGCGCCCCTGAAAAGAAAGCGCATGTCTTCTGCATAACTGCATCAAGCGTCGAAGCTCAGCCTCAAAATAATGGCCAGATCTTCAAGCACGGACCAAGGCGTGATTGAAGAACCTTTGACATCTTCTCCTTCATATTTTCATCATCAGGCTTTCTCATACCTAATGCCTAATCTTCTTCCCTCTCTTCTTCGCCGTTTTCCCCCTTCTTTTCTTTACCGACGAGCTTGACCAGACCATCAAGCTCCATAGAAAGTGGACCCAAACTGCGCAATGTTTTAGACTCGAGTTTCACGTTGCGATTCTTTTCATTCAGACCGCAGAGATAGCACTCCTTTTGGTCGCTCTTCCGAAGCACGATGGCGTGGATTTCCGACCTCACCAACTCTACCCTGCACAGTACCCTGCAGGTGACTCTATCTACCTTTAGCTTTCAGGATGCCCTCAAATTCTCTGGCAGCCATATGCCCACCTCGTCCTCAAATCCACCATTTCTATTCCACAATGGTTGTCTGCAGGACGACGGAACTCAGAATTGTACAGCTTCTTGCCAGGACCAAAATCAAATATTTGGTAGTCTGGACACCTTGCATAATTGCATGGTGTATCCGACCGTAGCTGATCTGTACGCGAGGAGCAATCTGAGTAACGCTAGCATGGCCGAGTACTACAACATACAGAAAAGCAAGAGGGGATCAAATCTGTACAACAATATCACTACTACAATAAAACAATGTCTGATCGATTATTGCACTATAACCCTGGACGGGTCTGGCTGTACAGAGGGTCTAAAAGAATTTGATGCGGACTTTTTGAGGAATTCGCCGTCCAACTTAACAAGTACCTTCTACATTTACGACAACGATGAAAGTGAAAATGAGTTTGATTTTTGCGAATACGTCCCCAATTCCTTCAATCCAGATATCGGTGGTATAGGGGTATGATCATTTCAGTGGGGCTCTATGAGATCTGCCTGCTAAGATCTGGATAGGTGTACGTATCATATTGGATCCAAACAGGGCTTGCTCTTCTCAGTTTCGTTTTGGTGGTCTGGTGGAATTGGGGCGTTTATTACATGTGCCTAGGAGCTCTTCTCTTACCACGCGGATACAGCAACGCCAAAAAGATTGCCCAACGAGTAGGAAACAACTCCAGAAACAAACACCTTCCCAGCCTGACGGGGGCGCTGGCCGAGTTTCAGAAAGCGCAATGCTTTTTCATGCTAGCAATCAACATTGCAGCTCTTGTCAACAGGAAAGGCGGAGGATTTCAGCCAAACAGCTTGCAGCAGTTGTATAACACATACATCCTCATCAAGAGCATCTCCATCAGCGGGTATCTTCCCGTCACCTTCACTCTCTTCACACTGCACCTAGTGGACGTGGTGTCATGGTACCTCTTGGTATTGTCGATCGTCACTGTCCTAATATCAATCGCGACTCTCTTCGTCATTGGGAACTTTAGTCCTAGTCAGGGTGACCTGAATTACTTGAGCCAGCAGGCATTAAGCGGCGGGCCTGACTCCTGCGGGACGAGGAACCTTGGCGTGTACTGTTATAATCCAGTTGGTGGAGCGGAGGACTACGGCTCAGTTAATCCTGCCAGTGGAGCGTACTCCATGTTGGCGTTCTGCCTCGTTGTTCTCATCCTCCTTGTTGCGCATCAGTACCATGCGTTCAAGGATCCGTCGACAGGACAACCCAAGCCATGGCTCTCAAGGGCTCTTGGTGCTTTCTTTCGGAAGTATGACTTCAGTCTTCGAATCATCCAATTTGGACTTGCACTGATCTCTATCGGTCTGAATAGCTACGGTGCGTCCACATCTTTCTCGTCATCCGATTATGTTCAATACTAACGCTCAATCGTGCAGTTACTGATTCGTATGCCTATGGTATCGGAGGCGAGCTCAGTGCTAATAGATACTATGATGAGGACGGGAGCTTCCTGTCGGCAGGCGCACCTGAGTTCGTCATCTTTGCCTCCTGTTGGTCTCTTTTATTCGTTCTTTACCTGTTCCTTACCTCAACTACCGCCTATACACGCACCCAGAAGCCAATGGGCAGATACTTCAACCAAAAGATTGCTTTTGCTGTGGACTCGTTGTCTGCAATATTTTGGTTCGCTGGCTTCATTGCCCTTGCACTGTTCTATCAAGTCCTTGGTCCTTGTGAGTATGAAGGGTCAGGTGCCTGTGGACCCGTAATCACAAGTGTCTTCGTGGGAGTCTGTGCTTGGTATGGAAGTTGCTCTCGCTTTACTTAAGAAATGTTTGTTGACAAATGGGCAGTATCACCTTCGTCGCAACAACAGTGTTGGCTGCGCGTCACATGCTTCGTACCCGTAATGAACGTTCCGAGAAGCATACTCGTGGGAAGCAGTACTCGATCCTACAACACTTCAACAACCACCGCCTGAAACGGCAGCTATCCGAGAAGGTCCCCTCGTGGAAACGCCTTACAAGAAAGGTACCGTCATGGAAGCAAATATCACGCAAACTGCCCTCATGGACCAAACACCCATTGATAATCGACACATACACAAGGCTCCAGCAAAACACCATCCCCACCATGAAGGTCCATACCCGCCGTGCCTACCAAGACGTGAAGACCCACGCATCTACGTTGGACTTGCCTTCGACAATTACATCCGCCGCGTTGTTTTCAATGTACCTCATTTTCTTCGGCCTGTACATCCATTGGTTCAAGATATTCATCCAAGATCTCGAGTGGTTCGGCTACAATGGCGTGGATGTGAATTCTTGGAGTTTCGGGCAGGTCGTTGCGATCACGGTCTGGGCGGAGCCGCTGTGCGAGTATTTCCATTTGGAGTTGCGTGAGTTTCCCGACATGCTCGACTCTCCTCTCAACCGCAGGATCAAGATTGGAGCTTGAGGTTCATGGTGAGACAACCGGCTAATGAGGCACGACAGGCGGCATGAAACGCGGTTTCGAACATCGCCTCTGGGGCTACAAAGTCGTGAAGATAAAGCAGCCGGATGCGGAACGAGGCCTCGTGTCCACCTCCTCGTCTTCCGTTCGTTCACCTTCACCAACCGCCTCACTCGATGACCACGAGATCGGCGAATATGGCAAGTTGGGCATTGTCGCATCCCCCAACGAGGGCGATCCGGCCCAGGACGGCGAGGATCTCGATCAACAGGGAGGCGGCTGTAGCAAGTCTGGGAACCTGGAATCAACGATAAGGCCGGTGCCGGAGTCGAGGGAAAGGAGTGAGGAGATAGAGGAGTGCGGACGAGTAGGAGGAGAGTGGCAGATTCCGGAAACGGTCATTCTGACGAGCGAGTCCATATCGCCGTTTTAGTGTTTGTATGTTTTGATACACTGTTCTTGTACTGTTTATAGATATAACGTATAACGCCTGAACCGCGTGTGCATCTGAAGATGAGACGAAAGATCACAAAGCGAGATCACATTCTAGCGGCTGGATCCCACGTTCGCTCGCTCTTTGGTTGAATACTCATAGGGAAGGGACGCGTCTGCTGTGATGTCGGTACGGTACAGATTAACCACCACCATCAGCAGATAGACTGGTGCTCCCTCGAAGAGGAGAGAATATGTGCAAAGACTTTGTTTTCGACGAGAGAGGAACCGGAGCACTCTTCCGACCAGCGACAATCGTACGCCAAGAGACTCGAACGGTCTTTGGTTGGAAATGATGTCGATATCAAGTTCAGCATCCTTACCTGCCTCCCTCGCTGCTTGTTAGGCAAGCATCGTCGGGCTCTCAAAACCCGCGATTACACCAATAAAGAATATATATGCTCGACTGAATTTGTCTATCTCTCTGTCTAGCCCATCGAGCTCACACAACCACCCCCCCCACCACCACCAACACTACGCTCCCAACTTCTTAAACCTCAACAGATGGACGTCCTTACCCCCGCCAATACACAAAAGGGGTCCCACACCACACCACATCACACCAATCCATCCCGTCCCCTCCCATACCGCAACACCCCCCATCATCGGCATCCCATCCCCCTCCCCTCTATACCCCACATACATACATACGCCTCCAGCACCGGCTCGTCCCCGCCTTGCCCGCCTTGCCCTTCCTCCCGCAACCACGCCACATGCGCATCGGTATCGTCGCCGATGACGAGCGCAGGATGCGACATCGACTCCGTGCACGCGCGGCGCGGAGAGGGATGTCGACGCCGACCGCGTGCAGTGTCTCTAGCACCGTTTGGCTGACTGAGGTGGGAGTGTTGGGATGAGGTTGATTTCCGCGTCGTTGTGGGTGGGTGGGTGGGGTCTTGGATGTGGAGGTCGGTGGGGGGTGCGGAGGAGCGGGGAGAGGGCGATGGAAGGGAAGAGTCGGTGTGGTTTCCGTTATCGAGAGGGAAGTGTGCGGGTCGGGTCCTGCGGCGTTGGAATGTGCCGAGGTCGGGGCTCTGGTGGAGGAGTTGTTCGAGTTGCTTGGCCCGTTTGGGGGCTTGTTAGTAGAGGAGATGGGTTTGGAGTTTTGGGTGTTTATGCGTGGGAGGCTGGAGAGGGTTGGAGAGGGTTGAGGTTATGGCTTGAGTGCGAGGTGCGGGAGGGGATGAGGGATTGATGGTGAGCGCGATGGGAGTTTGAGGATGTGTGGTTGCTTGTAGGTTTGAGTTTGAGCTGAGGCAGTGGGGGAATGATTTGTGATGTTGACTGTGCTGTAGACGAAGTGTGGCTGCGAGCTGGAGACAATGGAGGAATGGTTTGTGAAGTTCCCTGTGTGGTCGACAAAACCCATTTTCGTGTTATTGGGCTCTCTTTGCATTAAAAACTTTCATGTGCTGTGCGTAAGTTTTCTCAATTTATCATTGTGTGAACACCATTTGCTCTAGCACAACCTCTGCCATTTCACGATCAGTTCTCGTTGGTGGTGGCAATCACCTGCTTATAGCGGCACAGCCTGCATACTTTGCCTGCTTTTGCGTCTGCGAGTGGATGTATTGGCATGGGTCACTAGATTCAAAGCATGGTAGAGACAGAAAAGTCAGGTGGTCTTGAGAAAATTACGATATCATGGACCGTTCTAATCTCTAGAGCTTCCGTCGGTGGAGAGGCATCCAGCCTTCTTATTGAGGCCGTGGGAATCAACTCCTGCAGAGCGCTCTGTTGCTCCTTTTGTTTGGACCCGTCACTGTGACGCACTTTTTCGCAGCTGATGTCCCGGAAGAGCGGCACTGGAAGTTGATAGGATACTGCCTGCCTGATCAATCACTAATGGGAATTGAGCCTCGTAGTACCCAAGACGTACGACCTGATATCAAGAAAAAGACCAGCAGTATCTAGCGCCGGTGCCTAGAGTCGAATTCAAGGACCAACGGTACCTAGCATGAGTGCCCCAACGTACATCAAAAAACTTTCAAGGCCGTTGCCCGACCATACGCGAAGATCAAAGAGTCCGTACTCTACCATCTCCATGAAAGCATCACCAGCGGCGGAGGCGCCATGACCAGAGAGAAATTCAACGTATTGTCGGTCGTAGGTAGCGATATTAATATAAGCGTAATAGCCATCCATAGACACCATCCATTTTTGGAGCCTGTTCAATGACCTGTAAGACTGAACCTTCTGACATGATACTGAAGCTCACCGTTCCTGGTTTCCGCCATCTTTGTCTTTGGTTCTGTTTTCCCTAGCCTTAGATTCTGCTTCCATTCCCTTCCCTTTGCGGGCCTTCTCGGTCTCTTTCTCGGTCTCTTTCTGAGCGAGAACGACGTTCGCAATAGTGGGACTGTGGGTTAGTGGGTCTATTATGAGGCTATAGCGTTGGTGGCTGTTTGATTAGCCGTTTTATTATTATGTGATTATGCGATATGTGATAGTAGGGAGATAAATAGGTATAGCGAGTATTATTTGTATAGTCATTATATTAGAAGTAAGCTTTTTATTTAAATTATTCTCTTTAAAGCTATATTATTATTCTTCTTTTTTTTATAGTTAAATTTATATATATTAGTCTTTATTTAATTATTATAAGTATATTCTATACTCTTATATATTTTATAATAGCTTTTGCTATAATTATTAAGTCTAAAAAAGTAGTTATATAAATTATACTCGTTTTTAAGATTATTAAAAAGATCTTTAACGTTATTAATAAGGTCTTTAAAGCTTCTAAGACTAAAAAGATTATTAAGATTAAAATATCTTCTCTTCGCGATGAGATCTTTATATCTAAAATGCTATTAAAAATTATTATTTTAAATGAGATTGATAAAAACGCTTTCGTCTATTAAGGAGTTTAAAGTAAATCTTATAAAATTAATAGTCTAACTATTTAAGATCTAAGAGAAGCGAAATTATTATTATTATTATAAGGGTTAAGTTTATTATAAGAACTAAGTTTATAAGTTATATTACTATTATTATCGCTATAGCTATAGCTATAGCTATTATTATTATTATTTAAATATATTAAATTCGAATTTATTTAACTCTAAGTCGGATTAAGAGGAAAGAAGAGGGATTTTATTTTATTATTTAAAAGGTAAGAAGCTCTTTTTTAGTATTGCTAAAAGATTTTAAAGTATAAATATTAAGTACTTTAAGTAAATCTTCTTTAATCTCTTTAAGATTAAAAATTTCGCTAAATTAGTTTATATATATATTATCTTAATTAAAGAGAATAAAAATGTTAATAGCTATAATTATATAATATACTACTTTCTTATATACTTAATAGTCGTTAGTCGCTTTATCTATATAAGCGTGAAGGAAGATTTAAATAAGGTTCTTTATATATATGCTATTCGTCTATTACAACTATCTCTTATCTATAAATTTAACTTTATTCTTATTTACTATCTCGTCTTTATTATTATATATATTTAGAGTAATTAAAATAATCTTAAGATTTAAAAAGTAGGTAATTAGAGCTATAGAGATCTTCTTATATTCAGAGGGATTTATATAAGTAATAATAAGTTAAATATTAATACGTTTAACTCTAATAAATCTATTATAATTAGAGAATCTAGAATTTATAGAAGTTTTAATAGAGGTAGCTATTTTCGCGAGCGCTATCTCTACTTATATATCTATTTAATCTATTAATAAAATTACTCGTTAGATAAATATTTTAAAATCTATAACTTAGTAATAAATATCTTTAATTAATTATTATTAGATAATTATATTATTAGATTAGAATAACTTTTAGAATATTTATAAATACTATAATCGCTATAGTATATATTTAAGAGATTTTTATACGCGCTATATAATCTATTAAACTCGAATTTACTTTATTAAAAATCGTTAATAATTAATAGTTAATTTAAATAGTTAAATAATTACTCGAATCTAATATTTATTAAAATTATTTCGACTATTCTTCGAAAGAGCGTTAAGATAGATTTTTGAGGCTCTATCTTAGTTTATCGTAATTAAAATTATCTATTAATATATTAAGTATTTTAAATACTATCGATAAATCTTTAAAAATAGCTTTAGTAGTATTATCTAACCGAGATTAATTCTTAAAACGAGTTTTAATATATCTATTCGCTACTCGATTTAATATTAAAATACGATAAAGATTAAAGATAAGTTTATAATCTCTTATTCTTATATAATTATTTAGTTAATAATAATATTTAGATAGAGTAGAGCGTATTAGAATATACTATATACGATAACGTAGTAATAATATTATTATAAAAAGACTTAAAAGCCTAATTTATTAAAAGATATTTTAAAGATATTTTTAGATATATATCTATCGCTATATTAAATTAATAGCTACTTGATTTTAACTACGATAAACGCTATTAAAAAGAATAATATTTATTATTCGAATTATATATATTATTATTTCTATTTAATCTCTTTATAAAGACTTTTATTTAGATTTTAATTATTATTCTTTTATAAAAAGTAGTACTTTACTACTTAAACGATTTCTTTATAATTCTTTTATTAAATAATAATATAATTATATACGCTTAGTAATTCGACTAGCTATATAGCAAATTAGACTTTTAAATTAATTATATAAAGGATATTATAGATTTTATAGTTGAATTTTTAAGAATTAAATTCGATAGTATTTATATATAGACGAGACTTTCCTCGAATAAGCTGATTAAAGCGAGAATTACGATTAAAAATCTTCTAAAAAAAAAAAAAATTTATATTAAGAGCTCGAGTTAGCAATCGACTTTTTTTCTTTCGCTATTAAAGTTATAATTTTAGAAAGAGTATTCTTAAGACGATTTTTTAATATTCTTTAAAGATTTATAGTAATTATATAGATTATAGATAATATAAGAGTAGATTTACTATAGTGAGATATCTTTCTAAAGTACTAAAATAGCGTTATCTTAATATATTATATTAATAGTCGAGTTATATAATATATATAGATCGATATATCTAAGAAATTTAATATAGAAGACTATATTCTCAATTATCTTAATTATATTTAATTAGTTTAACTTAAAAATATTTTTAATATTAAAATAATTATATATTATTATTTTAAAGATATATAATTTAAAAAAATAAAGATTATTTATTACGCGATAAAGCTATAACTATATTAGTTATAAGAATCTCGCTTAATTCTCTATTACGATAACGATATATATATTAATAGATTATATAAATTCTTTATATATAAATTAGCTATAATTCTATTACGCGATATAGCTATATTAGTAGTTACTTATAATATTATAATAGTACTTACTTAAATATCTACGAAGGCTAATTAGCTAACTAATAATTTGTTATATTTTCGATATTAAAAAATCGCTAACACATATTTATAGTTAAGAGGTCTTATATCTTCGCTAAAATAAGATAAGATCTATTAAAATATTAATATAATTAGATTATATTATCTCGAGAGATTATATAACTTCTCTAATAGAGGCTTATCATTAAAATTAGGAAGATATATATAATTTTAATAAGATTCTATACGATTTATTATATACTTATAGAGATTTAACCTCCCTTTTTAATAATTATAAATATTCTTATAGACTAAATTATTAATCTAAATACTCGCCGCGTTAAGTTAAAATCTATAAAGATATATCTTATTAATTTTAGATTAATTTATATAAATATAAAGTTCGATAATTTCTTAGTATTTTATTATTTTTAATTATAACGTATTATTATAAATAGTTAACGTCTTTATAGTGAAGCTAATATAAAGAAAAGGCGTTTAATTACTAAGAATTTATTACTTTAAATTTTATTTTATTTTAATAAGTTAATCTATGTTGAGACGACTCTATATGTCTTTTTTTATCTTATCTTCGCGGTATTTCTACGCGTAGGTAAGTTTATTTATAATAAACGAGATTTTTAATAAAAGAACTTCGGCGAATAATTTCTTATACGTCGCTTAATAAGGTTATTTAATGATTATTTGAAACTTACGCTTTTAGTATCTAAAACGAACTTATTTTATTATGAAATTATATTTACGATAATTATATTAGGCGATAATATATGCGTAGTTAAAGTCTTACGATATCTCTTTAAATAGAAAGCTTTATTTAATATATTGCTATTTTAGCTAAGAAGCTTCTTCTTTATTAGAAAGATCGTTATTAATAATCTTCGCGAGATGCTAATGTTATTTAATATTAAGGGTTATTATTTAGATTATTTTTTTCGTAGAGAGGTTATAATATTAGTATATAATATTAGTTTTAGTAATAATAAGATTTAATTATTAGATCATTAAAAGTTAGATTTCTATCGCTTATATATCGTTACTTATTTAATTTATATACTTAGAGTATTATTATAATATTAGTATCTTTTAGCCCGTTCGCGCTAATATTATTAGTCTCTACTATTTACTATAATAAATATCGTTAAAAATTCTTCTCGAGATCTTTACTCTTTTAAATAACGTCTTAAGTTTAAGAGTTTTTCTAGCGCTAAGGAATCTTTTTTAAGATTATCTACTTAGTCTAGATATTTAAAAAGCTCTTAGTTACTCTAGTATTAAATATATCTAATTATATATCTATATATCTACTTATATATATATTATTTCTATATAATCTTATTATTTACGAGTATTAATCGTAATAGTAGAATTATAGATTAATAAGTTTATTATAAGATTATAGCGTTAATAGCTATTTAATTAGCCGTTTCATTATTATGCGATTATGCGATATGCGATAGTAGAGAGATAGATAAGTATGGCGAGTACTATTTGTATGGTTACTATATTAGAAGTAAGCTCTTTATTCGAATTATTCTCTTTAGAGTTATATTATTATTCTTTTTTTCACCTATATCTATATATAGCTTTATTTTACTTTAAAGTATATCGCTTAGATATGAGAGTTTTTCTAGTGCTAAGGGGCTTTTTTCGAGGTTATCTACTTAATCTAGATGTTTAAAAAGCTCTTAGTTACCCCAGTATTGGATATGCCTAATTATATATCTATATATCTACTTGTGCATACGTGATTTCTATATGGCCTCACTATTTGCGAGTACTAACTTGCTCATAGATAAATGCAGCCATTTGCGCTGCTATTTGTCTTCTCACAGAAGGGTTTCCACCGCGAAAATCCCGCTTGACCTCCATAAAACCGTTACACTTGTCAACATCGAGGTGCATAATCAGACCGTCCACGCACGCCGAGTAGAGATAGGTCTCAGCGTCTTTGGAGATACTGAATCTTGCTCGGTCGTGATGAACACGGCCCGTGCGGCCGAGTAACCATGACAATACCATTATCAATGCCACCAAGGCAGCGTTGACTGTCTGCTCATCTCCCGGTGTGAAGTCGGAGCGCTCAAAGTCGTACCTGGCTCTCCGAAGGTCCGAGCCAGCTTCGGAAACGATGTCTTCCGGAGACTCCAGGTTCAGGCTGCTAAAGTCGTCACTGAAGTCGCTGAGTGGAGGCTCGCGATATGGTTCTCGAGACTTTGGGGTAGGCGTCGAAGGGACCGTATTTGAAAGTATTCGCTCGCGATAGTGTGCACTCGACTGAGTCATGCTCCGCGTTTTGAGGGGGCTTATAACGATCTTGAGGTCGGTTACGTCTTCGCTGTCGTCCATTTGGCGGTTCTCTCGTTTCGAGATGAGATGCAAGTGCTCCAATGCAACGGCAAACATGCCAGACTTCCTTGCATTTCCCACGCTCCAGCAGGTTTCGATGTTTCTCTTATCTTGTAAGAAAGTCCTCAAAAAGGCCGCATCAGTGTCCTTGTCAAGAATTTGCTTCATTTCCTCAAGCCGTTCCTTAGGGAACCCGCGACTTGTAGTCAACTCTTCAGGGTCTCGTTCGTCAATGTACAGGACGCGTAGACGAAGGTAATGTCCAAACTTGAATTTGCTGCCACTAACCAAAGGGGGACCAGCAGTCAGTGATTGAGTGTGATGGATATTATTGCGTGTGGCTGCTTGTCTCCAATCCCGTTTATTTCTTGGAAGCTCATCTGGCATCTTGATTTGCGTAAAGAAGAGCTGATACCGAGGCGATAGAGAGATGGAAAATCTGGCGATTGGACTCGCAAGAGTGGTAAAGCCAGAAGGTTTCACTTGGCTTAAGGGACGGAGTAGTGAATTGGATGAGAATGACCGTTTTCGGTGTTATTTATGTATATATCAGAACAAAGGTGTCATTCTGAGTGTTAGAAGAAGCATAGGTAGGATTCACCTCAGCCACTCAGGGCAACCTTAGGAGATAGACAGCACTGGTAGCACTAAGCCTCTTCCGGGCTGGCCGCCATCACTATCAGTAGGTAGAAATAAGTAGCAGCCAATGAAAGGCTGAGATACTGGGACAACATAGGTCAACACGCCCCTTAACCACAGTGACAAAGATCAAAGGCATGCTACCGGACTGAGAGTAAAGAATAAAGAACAAAGTGCCAAGGAAAACGCGTCAACAAAACTTGGGGCTCCTGATTAGTCATCTGTTGCCAACAACAACCACCAACAAACAATCCCCTCTTCCCTTCCTCCACCACTTCTTACATTAATTCCTGTCTTCTGACAACTCATGAAATCAGCCATCACCTATTCATTGTCTGTATTCTGCCATGTCCGTTGTAGCCGACGACGCCTGTTCAAAAATTCTCTCAGGCTTCAAACCCATCCACAGAGAAGTCTGCAAACTCGTGCCAAACCCCGCCAACGACCTCCCCTACAATGGGGGAGCCAGCCTCAGTCCATCGGATCTCGCAGCCATGAATATCGCATTTGATTCCAACGCGAATACCGCTTTCTGGGAACCCTGTGATGCCAACACGACATGCGCTCTGGAGGAAACTTTTCGTGACATTGAGGCCTCACTGCAAAAAGTTGAAACAGACATGTGCAAGAAAAATCTCGTCGAATGCAATTGTCCAAGTATTGAAGATGCATACAAATCAAGTGACCACTACCGCAGAATTCTTCAGCGGTCCATTTCTGATGGCTTGCTTTACAACGATGCTTTGGTCGATTCGTCTGGCGATGACCTTTTTCAGAATCTTCGGTACGTTACTTCCGCACCACCTCCTTTCTATGTTGTTAAGCTTACATAGATACAAAGAATCGCCTTTTACCGGACCCACATAGATATGCAGACCCACAAGGGATTTAGCTCGCCCGGCCGTCCACATATCACCATCCTTTCCATTCAGCCTCATCGAGCACAATCGCAAAAGGACCTTTTGTGCACAGAATTTTGGATGATGTATTACTGGGCTAACAAGCTTGCACGACGCGCGCTCCATACGACTGATCATTGCTTGCCGGTAAGTGTCCATTGTTTACTTCCTGACTCGTGGTCGGTGGATGACTGATAAAACGCGTCTGAAGATACGCATGGTCTCCCTCTGCGGTTACGAAGCTCGTGTGGTATCAGCCGTTTTCAGTCTTGGTTATCCGCGCTCCGTTGTAAGGGGGAAGGGACCTGACCCATATCAAAGCGCGAAATGCCAGATACACATTGCTGAGTACAGAGATCTTAGCAATCAACAGCACTTCCAGGATCTGATGGAGGAGTTGGCAGCTACGCCTTGCGGCAACGCCGAGGTGCAGCAGAAGTCGCCTAGAAAGAAGAACATCTGAAGGGCGTCTTGTCAGTTAACGGGCAGCTACGAGTTTGACTAGGGATATTCCCCGTCCGCTAACTTTTGGCATACGGTCTCGTCACTCTCAAGGAGTATGCTTAGGAGACAAATGCTGTGAAGTCAAGTCGCGCAACAAGGTCTCCCTACCACTTTCACCAAAAGTGATTCCACATTCTCAGTGGACGAGGACGGCCCCATCTTCAAAGTACGCGGTGCTTTTCTTCGACTTTAGGCCTGGATGGGTATCTCAACAACAAACAGTGGTCATCTTTAGGCAATGAAAAGCTATCACAGAATTGGCAAGGCACTAGCAGTAGTGCGGGCTAAGCACTGCCCATGTTCTTCGATGGTCTACATAGTTGCAATGCAGGCAGTGCACTGTCAACGTATCCTTGACAAAGGTGCGTTCTTTGTTGAACACCTCAGCTTGGTCTAGAACATGCTCTTCTCTCAATAGTTTGAGAATTAATCGACACACCAAAGCACAGTCTTTCTGTCACTTTCAACTCTGAACTGCCGACTCCAAGCTTTTCATTATTTAACCATTCAAAGTGGCAATGACGAGCTCCATAGGCCGAGCTATCTTTCCGAAATGACATTACCATTCTACAGGGAAAAACCGCCTCAACGTGACGGGAGTGCTTGTATGATGACAGACTATGGGGGCGACACAGGGAACCGCTCTGGTAATCCATCGACGTCTACGACTGGCGATTCGCTCACAATGACAGGCTAGCACCCCGTTGTCTTTTCACCCCCCTCAAGTCTTGCGATATAACAGTGCCCTCTCATTTCAAAACCCCTTTAACCTCGATATACTTTAGCTTGATAAGGCAATTCAAAGGGACAGATTATATTACAGACGGCTCAGAACCACCGGCTCACATCGTAGATGCCAAAGTAGGTGCTAGACACAGATGCTCGTCATCAGGACCCTCCATTCACACAATCAGTCAAATCCTCGCGCTCCCACTGGGGATCCGTTTGATGATCTACCGTCTGTCTGTCGTCGCGGGAGGTCTCGCGATCCTTATCGCTTGCAAACTGATCCAAAAAGAAGTCGCTCGGCGCCAAGAACTATCGTACGCCAGAAGCCCGGCAATCAAACTCACTTTCTTCAAATGAACAGTTCAAGTGGGACCACGCCTCGCCACAAACTTGCCCTCGACCACTCCCTTCAACTCCCTGACCATCTTCCCAAGCCCGGACTTACGCCCGAAGGGCCTTCCCTCGCATTGCAGCAAAACGAGTGAGAGCCCCAAGCATCTCACGTTTTCAAGCCGCTCCAACAGATCCAGAACGCCAGCCTCCAACACCAGCTCCGTCGCCCGCTCGTTGGCGACGCTCATTTTCCGCTCCTCCTCCTCATCCTGCCTCTCAGCGCCCTCGTCGCTTCCTTCCTCCCCGTCAGCCTCATCGTCGTCGATGTCGAAGGCCGGTTCCACTTTGACGCTGAGGGATGCGTCGAGCTGGCTGATGTAGGGGACTGGCAAGAGGGCGTCGACGAGGTGTTGGAGGATGTTGGAGACGGGTGGACGGTTTGAGCCGGGCCCTAACAGGAGTGAGGCAAAGGTGGCTTCGTCCTCGCGGCTCGTATGGTAGTTGTCGTCGACTCGAGATGGTGGGCCAGAGGCGGGCTTCGTCCTCGTCGACGAAGTTGAGATCGGCGTTGTAGGAGATCCGTTCGGATTTTGCGAAGGTTTGAGGATCCATGGTTCCACGGAGGTCGGACTCTCCAAATTCCAGTCTCTCGGTGGAAATCCGGATGTCTAACTGCGCGGGACAGGAACGCCAGACGCTGTCGCCGAGTGAGACGATGCCGTCCCACGTATCCGAGAACATGACGTCGCCCGGCCCGACTTCGATAACGAGATTCGAGTCGAGGAGAGCCGAAGCCTCGTTTTAGATCTGGCGGTTGGTTCGTAGGATGGCCGGATAACGTGGGACTTTGAGTTCGTCGTCGAATCGGCGCTTACGCTCGGCGATACGGTCTTAGTCCTGCGAGACACCAGCACTCTGGAAGGATTCCTCCTCGTCTATAGCAGGGGATGAAGGTGTCTCCCAGTGTGGATTGGATTGATTGGGGGCTAGATGGTTGTACATCACCGACCCTTGGCCTTCCGGATCGTAGGATTCGATCAAGTCGTTTTCTTCTAAGTATTGATCCAACAAGGCATCCAAGGTGCTCCGTTGCTGGATTCGATCCGTCGTCGCGTCGAACGCTTTCTCGGGATAGCTTGGGTCGAGGGAGGCTCGTGGAGGATCGAGCAATAGGCATCGGTAGATGTTGAGGCGGATCTCTGCTGGAACGCGCAGGAAGTGACAGGTCGTGTCCACAGCCAGTTTAGAGTCCGTGACGGCTGAGCGGTAAGTATTGCTAGTCCACTTGGACTATGTTAGAGTTGTCTGAGTGGGGAGAAGTGGGTGTTTCGGTGGTGGGATATTGGAGGTTGTTTGGGGAGTGGACTTTATATTCTGGTGGAGGTTCTTGAACGAAATAGTGTCGACGGGTACGCGTATATGGGAAACACTGGTCCTGTTATGTGTTTCATGAATGGGGTAGTTTCGTAGAATAAATTGACGAGCGGCATAACACAATCAGTAGACGCGTTGAAGCACAGGATGGCTTCCCTGCGACTACATCTTGTCTCAGAAACAAGCAGGCCTTGAAAACTGGAACTAGACAACAAGCTCTGTGTGCTAAGGCGTGATGGTGAACTAGCTGAGTGGTAGTCATGATTCATACAGAGTCCATCCAACATTCTTCAAATCCCAACGTGTGATCTATCTGACATTGACAGCCATATATGCCTCGAAACAAACGCCCGTATACAAGTTCCCGCTCAATCCTATCTCGAACTCACATTCTTACTCATAGTCTCGCCCTCGCAGCCTTCGCCCGCCCCTCGATATCCTCCTCCAACCTCTTCTTCCTCGCTTTCATCTCCATCGCCTCCATCAACGGCATCGTCCTCTCATGTACAGGAGGCAGCCTCCTAGACCGCCGGTACCGCCTGTGAGAAGGACGGTTTTGAACGAGTAGAATTCAGGGGCACTGGAAAGCCCTTCTGAAGCCATAGTGAATAGCAAGGAAGAACCAATTTTTAATTGGTAGCAAAGAATGGATCAGCTTCCGAGGACCATTGGTTGGAAGGGGGAATGGGATGCATATATGGACTGCTTGCTGACGGGTCTAGAATTGCAGGAGTTCACTTGCCTCTCGAAGACATCCCTTGAGGCTCAAAGGCCCACATGGCTCCGCGGTACTCGGTATCAGTGTTTGTATTAGGTTTCACGATTTGTGAAGGGTTCGACGAGATATTACCTCGCTTAGCGGTTCTACTCATCGACCACCATCCAGATCCCGGTGACTTTTGTGACCCACTGGTGGACACTCCCTGTATTCATGCAGGGCTCCCGACGGTCCGCCTCCAATTTCTAGACTAGTTGTCTCGAATGATTCAATTCGCGATTATTTCGAAGCGATTAGAAGGTTTCGTAGATAATCCTGGACTGACCTAAAACGTGCGAACTAGTCGACTCAACCTTGTCTGAATCAGCCCAGAGGATGACAGTATTACAGACTAGCGCGTGAATGGCTCCCAACCAACAGTCCGGACCGTTGGGAGCTTTGGTTCGATGGACGATCCAGGTGGGTCGAGTACAAGACGATGCAGGTCCAGAACCCTTAAGCCTTGACCACCACCACGTGCTAGCAACCTTAACACGGGAGACACGTATTCTCGGAACCTGGTTATATTAATCTAACGACTTTCTGATACCTAGCAGAAGCAATAAAACGACAAGCAGTAGAAGCTACAAACCAACAGTCGCGCTACAGTGGAGAGGGATTGCACTTGGCATATGGACTCACTGCCCATTGCGAGGGTATATCTCCCCCGAGCACAACGATCCACTTCTTCTGTTCCCCATAACATAAACTTCGGTCGGCTAATAGGTCCTCAGTTGTTGAGATTTGCTGCAGCACCTGTGTTGAAGCTACCCCGCATGGTGGCAAATACGGGTATAAGTAGCCCACTCAGCACTCTCATAGCTACCTAATCAATCAATCCTTCATACATTTCCAACATCAGTAGTGGTGGAACTTTCCCGCAAACATCCTTAACAGTCAAACCCAGGGTCCTGGTATTTCCTACTCTGGCGATTGCCAGATCTCTAGAGGACCCAGATCGCATACTAGGGACGGGTCGACGGATGTCGTCAGACCCCAAGCTCTGGCCAACCATAATAAGGTAAAAGCTCGGTCAGATGGGGCGCACCTTCCGCTGCGAGCTGCCGACAGAAAGGGCAAGCCATTCATCGCGGTAGCATCAAACATTCTATCACCACTGCACACTCCTCGAGATGAACAACGTCGACCCATGGTATGAGTTGTTCCCCAAGCCTGACAGTGGAAAGCCCCGAGCCAGATTCCCTGCGTGGACACGATAGACTTTCGGCACATGGTGCGTTTCACTTTGAGTCTGTTTTAGGTTCGGCGACAGGTATCGGGATATCGAGTTCGTGTACTTGTGCGCTCGAAAAGGCTAATATCTTGACCCACCGACGTGGATCTACCCACTAATCAAAAATGCACCGAAGTCTCCACAGTCGGCATTAAACGATGGGTGTTCCTCGTGGCAAAGAGATACATCTTTCCGCCGGACGAGTAGGTAAACTTTTCGGAATGCTGAAGTTCGGAACGGTGACTGGTGACCATGATGTAGAGATGCTCGAAGAATAGCCGTGTCGAGCCCGTGTTGAGAGTACGCCTTTGCGAGAATTGTCCGCCTTCATGATTGCGTCGGTAAGGCCTGTGCCAGAATTGCTCGCGTTGTACAAACATCTCTTGGTATATCTGCCCGCGGGTCTCAGCCGCAATGTCCGTGAATGTGCCATCTTGGGCAGCGCCTTGTACAAGGCACTACGTTGCTTCATGTTGGAGGTAGCGTATCTGAGAAGTGCGAGGGTAAGGAGGATATCTTGTGGTCGAGTTTGAACACAATGGATGATAAGTAGATGCCAGGTAGGACGTAGGGCTCTGGTAATGAGGTGTAATTGGTGGTCTGAATTAGTAAGGAGGAAAGGATAGAACTTGAACCTGGATCGACGAATTATCTGTTAGTATGTTGTAACCATCCTTCACAACCGTGTCGAATAGCAGAAGGAAAGAATTGAGCAATAATGACAGTAGTTGTGTTCGGTTATTGTCTCAAAGATCATGGGTTTAAGGGAAAGAAATACAGATGGAAGAATGGTAGAGCTTGGGGTAAATTACAAATTCATACCCCAAAACCTTGGATCCTTACAAATTCATACCCCTAATTACATTTTTATACCCCATTGGGGTATGAAAATGTAATTTGTTATTCCTTGGGATATGAATTTATAATTTGCTATAGTGCGCTGGAATTACTATCTACTTACTATCTAAGACTAATAATAATCTATTTACGAATTTTAACTAGATGTGAGTAGGGATATCAAATTACGAAGAAGAGAGTCCGCGATCTAGCCTGTTTGACTATAGAAATAAAGAACTTTCTTCGACTATATTCGATAAGAATTCTATTAGTTTTAAAATATTAGATGAAAGTCGAGTAGATGAAATTTCGACTTCTTAAAGATTAAATGTAACTATTATATTATTTAAGATCTCTATCTATCTCTCTTTAATATATTATTAATTAAATTAATAGAAGTCTATTATCTTTAATTACTCTTACGTTCTCTAGAAGTAATACTTCTATCTTTATTATTATCTCGATCTCTTTTACCCTCGCGTATAATAGATATAATACTTAATTCGCTACGCTCTAATTTATTATGCTTTAATTTCTCGATATCGATTTTTTTATTTAAGAGAATATTTAGTGGAGTGCGTGCTTTATTTATTCGTAAGCGATATAAGAGAACTTCGATATCGCTTTCTCGTTATATAGACGAAATAACTTTATTTAATAATACGATAGGTGATAAAGAAGGAGAATTAAGTAATTTATAAGCGGTTATTTAAAATACTAGCTACTCACTTATTAATTAATGACTAATCGACGATATAGAATTTTCGAATCTTGATAAAGTAGATATTATAGTTTATTTACCCCTTAAACGAATAATAAGAGAAATCTCGAGGTTTAACGCTATATACTTTATTGAAGTACTCGATCTTTAATTATATAGATTATTCGTTATTCTTTTCTTCGAATCGTATTTTCTCTAATATTTGATTATCTTATTGATTATATAAAAAAGGAGATTAATAGTATTATTATCTTCTAAATTATATCTCGCCTAGTTCTTAAGATAATTTATTATTAAATGTGATCTTAGATCTTCTAAACGTCTTATAAAGCGACTTAATCTACTTATTTCAATATATGAATAAGAGAGAAGCTTTGAAATATCGTCTTAATTTATAGTATTAAATTATTACTCTCTTATTATATATCGATTATTAAAGTCTAAACTTTTTATAAAGCTTCGTTTAATATCTTTATATACCTCTACTATTCTCTTAAGATTTCTTTCTTATTAATTAAGACGTTATTTAATATTATATTCGATATACTCTTATTCATCTTAATACTTTTTTATATTAAGATATACTTATATTATCGTAAGCTTCGAATTACTAATTAAAGTCTATTAAGTTATTAGTTCGCTATCGTCTTTACTCTAATTACTTTCTAGATCTTTTTTATCGAAGTCGTTATTATTAGAGCTATTTTATAAGTTATAACGATTGCTATTACTATTCGCCTTATTAAAAGTCGCTAATAGATATTAAGTTCGCTTATTAAGTGTTATTCTAGTATCGAAAGATAAAGATATAGCGATTAATTCGTTTTCACCTATATATAAAGTTAGAAACCTTTTTTTTTAAAATTGTTGAAATATATTTCTTAGCTTTCTTCTAATCGTTTTATTAAGATAGTTATTTAATTAGTATAGTATATAAGAGATACTTTAAAGAAGTATTAAGAGAATAATATATACTTTATAATCTGAAATTTGAAAGAATAATAATTTACATATCGTTTTACTTATAGTCTTTATAGAGTTAATTATAGAATTAAGCCTAGACTTAATATTATTATTATTACTTAAAAAGCTCTTTTATAGAGTCTCGCTATTGTTAATAATATTAAAATTAATATTATTATTACTTGCGAAGTTAAAAGAATAAGACTTTATTTTATTATAAGTCTTTTTATTATATTCTATTTAATTATAAATATTATAATGAAAACCCCTCTTTAGCTTATTATAAAGCCTCTTACTAAGTCGAATATATCGCTTTTATAATCGTTCTATATGAAGTATAATTTAAAGGGTAGTATAGTCTTTAATAGTTTTAAGATTAGTTACTCGAATCGGCTTTATTATAAAGACTTAATTATATATATTTCAATACGTTAATATAAAGTATTTCTTATTAATATAATTCTCGACTTTGAGATAATAGTAATAATATACTATTATAGCGTATTTATAGAGTAATTAATTATCTTAATAGTTAATATAGATATACTCTCGAGTAAGAAGTTTAATTATATACTTAGTATTGCTAGAAGATTAAATTATTATATAGTATTAATTAGAGAATATCGTCTTATACGTTCGATTATCTATTTACGTATTATCGAGATAATTATATACGTAATTAATAAGTCGCTTATTCTTAAACTCTTTATATTATTATATAAATATTCTTATTATTATAGTATTTTAGATATCGGCTATAAGATAGATTATTAGATAATCTCTTATATCTAGTTAATAAGTATTCTAACTTTTATAAATATTAGATGTAAATTAATTATAGCGAGAACGATTGAAGGCGTAAATACTATATTAATTTAAAGAAATCTCGCAAATATAATTATTATATTCGTCGTCTATCTCTCGAAGTTTTAGAATTATATCTTTAAAGAAAGTTCTATTCTTCGTATAGATATACTCTTAAAAGAGCTTTACGTATTTCTTATCGAACTTCTTTTCTATATTTCTTTTAATATAATAGATATAGAAAGCGTACTTTATATATGAAAAGTTTTTATATACGATGGGAATTA